AGAAGTGGAAATATCCAAAATTACAGTAAGAGTTTACAATTATCATCGTAAACTAAATATATAATTTGAATTTTTTCTATAACATTGAAACTAACCACTTTAGATCATATACATGGAAAAGGTTAAAAATTAAACAAAAAAAAAACTCAAATAAAAATAAATACGAATAAATCTGATTGCATCATCAAACGAACCACAAAAGGAAATTAAACTATTGAAAGACCACTAAGAATTGTAAATTAGAGTTGAGCGTCGTGAGAAACTATCAACAAACGTAAAATCACGTATCCAAATTCAATCCGAATGTCCATAACAGGGAAGATCAACAAGATTTCAAATAAGCGCCATCTTGATCAGTCGTGGTGTCGTCAAATCTAACCCTGAGAAACATAAATAAAAGAACGAACAAAAGACAGAGAAAAAAATGAAAAAAAAAACGTATCATAAAAATAGAGATAAACGTGTAACACGGACAAAAATATTCTTACTAAAAAAATAAAAGAAAAAAAACAAAGATAAAAGAAAATCGACGGTCAACAACCAACATAAAAATTGGTATTATTGTCGACTAAATAAAATTAAAAAAAAAAGTTGATCTGATATATAAAAACCGGTATAAACTCAAAGAAGAAAAAAAAAGAAGGCAAAGGAGATAGCCGCTAAAAGCAAAAATCAGGTACATTAGAAATATAGATATTTATATAAATTGCACAGTTGCTTTAATGGTTTTTTTATAAGAAAAAATCCAACCAAATCCGGTGTGATGAATTATGTAGTAAGATTTAATGGAGTTCATGAAAATGTCATATAAACCAAGGCATTTGCCAACTTATTTAGGTTTAAAGTGGACCATATCATATGGCTAGGCTCGTATTTGAGCATAAGCAAGAGGGACACTTGCCAGGGGTCCTCTTGCCCGGGATCTAAAATTATAAAATTCATATATAATTAAAAAATAATAAATTATTTATTTAGTTATTTATCTATTATTTTTTTATTTTGATTATTAAATTATTATTATTTTTTAAATTATATTTAACGTTATATTTTAATTTTGTTGGTTATTCACCACTAAAAATCAAGAACGATATTAATATGATATTTTTAAATTATTTTTCGCTTTTCATTAAAATTATATATATATATATATATATATATATATATATATATATATATATTTATTTGCTATTAGGGGTGCACCTTGAGCAATTGTTCATGCCCCTCATTTTGTATGGAGCTCCTAATTTTTTATAATATTGTTTTTTTTTTATAATTTAACCCTTTAATTTTCTTTAATTTTAGTTTCTTATCCTTATAATTGAGGTCCTTCATTTTTGTAATCCTACTTTTTATCTTTATAATGGAGGCCCTTAATTTTTTTCAATCTCATTTTTTTTACATTTATAATTGATGATCCTCAATTTTTAATATCACCTTGTATCTTTATAATTAAGCTCATGTTTTTTTCAATCTCACTTTTTACCTTTATAATTGAGGCCCCTAATTTTTTCAATCCTATTTTTTACTCATATAATTTAGGCCCATAATTTTTTTCAATCTCATTTTTTACCTTTAAAATTGATGCACCTATTTTTTTAATCACTTTTTACCTTTATAATTGGGGTCTCTAATTTTTTCAATCATACTTTTTACTTTTATAGTTTAAACCCCTAATTTAATCATTTTTATACGATTTATAAATGTAATATTAAATTAATTATTCAAAGTATTAGAATATACTTTCATTTTATAAGGGTCTATCTTTTAGTTTCGTTCTGGGTCCCGAAAATGTCTAAGATAGCTATGTATTTATTACATAGTTTATTAAACGTACTAAAAAATAATTTACAAACTAATTTATTTATTTTTTCTCGCTCTTACAATTTAATTTTTTCGATACTTATTATTGGAGACATATTTTTTATATTCGTATCGCGCCACTAAAATATCATAAACGGGCCTGCAAATGGCATTTATATAATTACAAAACCCGGATATTTTAAGGAGTATTAGTTGTAACTATAAAATATATTAACATAAATAAGCTGTTGGAGGAAAAAGTCCATACCTTTATGTTTTACTTTAGGGTAAATTACACGTTTAGCATATAAACTATTAGTTTTGAACTACTTTTAGTACAAATTTTTCATATTTTTTTGAAATCACACCTAACGTTTAAATTTTTTGTTTCATTTTAGTACCTAATTATTAAAAATTTAACGGCAGAACTGACGTGACACATTTTAATTATTTTATTTGAGAAGCTATGTTGGCCGGCGTGTTTATAGTCATCGATTACCATTGATCGTTGTGTCTACAGTCGTCAGCCGTCACATTTGTCGACCAAGGAAGGTTAAACTTTCCAGTGTGCACCTTTTTGGATTCCTAGATGCGATTTCGGCTTTCGTTTCATCAGGAAATGCATCAATTTTCCTAAATCAATAATGAACTCTTTAATTTCTTCATACTTTAATCTCTATCTTAAATCGTCAAATGATCCTAAAACTGAACTATGTTAAACTACTAGTTATTTTTTCGTGGTACGCCATTCGAATTTACCGTCCCACCACCGAAACTTTCATAGTCGGTACCCGAAGGATAAAACTCATCACCTTTTCGTTTTATTGTTTTTCCCCATTGTTTTGATGATGCACAGCAAAAAAAGAAGGAAACGTGGAAACAAAAGCCCACCAAAGCCCCAACCACCGACAATCCACCGCAGCTGCAACCGAGCTCCGTTTCAAGGTTCATGGAACACCAGCGTAGTAATCAACCCTGCTCTTAACAACCCCATCAACTTGGTTTGGTTATGGTTTTAGTTAGATTAGTTAAATAATATTAATTAAATAATAATATAGATAATAATTTAAAATTAAAAATCCCGCCAACTCTACTATTAAATTTTTAATGGCGGGTATTAAAGTGAAACATAAATTAAACGAGAGATGTGATTTTGAAAAAATATAAAAATTTAAATACTAAAACGGATGTTAAATAATAATTTAGGTACTAAATGTAAAATTTACCCTTTATGTAGAAGATTATTTTTAATAAATTTAAATTTAATTATTGATGTATTGAAATGGTTTAATTGAAGTATACCTCCTAATAATGATCATGTTCTGGAACTTCAATATATATATATATATATATATATATATATATATTTGTTGAAAGGGAGTATTGTATGATTTTATTGAATATGCATATAAAACAGGACAAACGATATGGATCTCCTTAAAAAAACCACCCTAAACATAAGGGAGGAAAAAGAGTGCACCATATCGATATCGGAAGATAGGCAATATACAACACTTCGAACACCATCCCACAATCAACAACATACTACCATGCACCAATAAGGGGTACTCTCAACTACCCTTATACCCAAGCATCCCATACAAAAGAACAATAAACAGACTCCAATTATCCAGCAAACATATAACATAAAAAACAAAACAAAGTAGAACCAAAGCTCAAACCAAGAACCCATACCGCTACACACCAGAGAAAACCTTCTTCAACACGAAAGAACTTGAAGCAGCACTAAACTACACTATAGCGACCTCCATAATACATGTTGAACAATAGAAAACCTCACAAACAAGGAACCACTATTATTGGAAAAAAAGGGTAAATTAGCAACTCAAGTATTTGTGTGGTTTCATTTTTGTCATCAATCTATTTTTTTAATTATACCTAATGTTACGTCTTGATTTAATTTTGTTCACCCGCCATTAAAATATTAACGATAATGCTGGTGTGTCATCATAAGGTAATACGATATCATCACTGAAAAAAAAATCATATCAGTAGTTTTGCTAATTTTTTAACGTGGATGACCAAAATTAAACTAAAATATAACATTACATATAATTTTAAAAAATAGATTAGTGACCAAAACAGAATTGTACGAATAATTGGGTGATTAAATACATAATTTATCCAAAAATAATGATCTTAAATAATAGGGTAAATTATGTTTTTAGTACCTAAACTATCAACTTTAGTCCGTTTTAGTAGCTAAACTTTTATTTTTTTTCAAAACCATGCCTATAGTTTAGTTCTTGTTTCATTTTAATACTCTGGTTCAAAATTTAAAGTTAAATTTTTTATTTTTTTTTAAAGTTTAATTACTAAAATGGATCAAAACTGATAGTTTAGATACTAAACGCATTAAGTTTTTAACGGTGGGTACTAAAATACAACAAAAACTAAACTTCATGTATACTTTTGAAAAAATTAAAAGTTTAAGTACTAAAACTGATCAAAATAAATAGTTTAGTTACTAAACGTGTAGTTTATCCTAATTAATATAATATATGATAACGGTAAGTACTAAAATGAAATAAAAACTAAATTTTAGGTATATTTTTGAAAAAATTAAAAGTTTAATTATTAAAACTGATCAAAATAAATAGTTTAGTTACTAAACATGTAGTTTACCCTAATTAATATAATATATGGAGTATCCGAGTTAAAGAATAAGAGGGGGAGCAGGTTAGCAGTTTCAACTGCTGAGACAGCCAACATAGTTGGGTAAAGGGCAATTGCCATTCCAAAAATACTCTTGGAGACGTTATTGTTTAAAGCTGCAAAACCTCTAGTCCTTGGGAAAAAAGGAAGCGTTGGCAGCAAAACAAATATTATTTAGAAAGTTAAAGACGGTTGTTTATTTCAAAATGATTAAACGTTGAATGATTTAAATATTAGATGATTTAGAGGCTCTATATGAATTAACTCTGAAATATAACATGTTGTTTGATAATAACTCTGAATCATTCAAAATATATTTCTGCGTTGAATTATTTAACATTATTTTACTAAAACAGTTAACACTGAATTATTAAGAGGTACAAAACAAAAGCGGGTTCAGGCAAACAAACAGTCCTTAGTGTTACTCAGCGCGATTCCGGGGTTTATTTTATTGTTTTTAGTTTCATTCTTGGATTGGGTTAACTTGTAAAAATTGAAACCATTTTGTCCAGTTTGTAGAAATCATGAGAGATCACCTGGTTTTGTATGTGGATCGTCTGGTGAGGCCGGTGCCATTACAGCCGGTGGAGTTGGAGGCCGCTCCCTCCCCGGATGCATCGTGTTCCGCCAAAGAGAAAGAAATCGTCCGAGGAGGCGACGAGGAGGAGCCACTCATTCAAGCGGCGGAGTGCCTCATTTGCCAGGAGGAAGATTCCAATAATAATCTTGAGACTCCTTGTGCCTGCAGCGGCCGCCTCAAGGTGATTTCTTAACGCCAGACAGAATAGTGATTATCCTGCAAGCACTCCAACAGATGATTCACAAGAGAAAATTCGCCCAAAAAAATCCAGAGAAAAAAAGTCTCTAGGGTTTAATAAAATATTATCAAATCAAACAATGTCAAAATCAATCCACAAGCCGGACTGTTATAGCCAAAAATCGTCTTTATTCGAATTTTGCCAAAAATAGCAAAATCCCGAAAATCACTCTAAATTGAAATTCGAAATAAAATAAGCAATCTCCAAAAAATCCGGCCTAAATCGAATTTAAATTGACTTCCTAATTGACAATCGAAATATTACCATAAATAGTAAAAAATATCTAATTCTAGTGATTCGAAGGGGAAAACGGCAGAATTTGAGGTTGAAAAAAAGGCCACATGGAGCGTAGCTCGATGTGGAGAGCGTGCGTGTCGAAAAGAGCTTTTCGGATTGGGGTCTTATGCGCGATTCTGACACCTGTAGCCAAAGTTATGGCCAAAAGACTGAAACATACTCAAAACGACCTCAATGAGGAACATGTCACAATCAATTCCCGCCTTTGCGCTGATCTGCCAATTCATGGTATCTCAGAGCCATCAAGGTGCAATCTGACAGCTCAGCATCATCTGTCTCCGATCCCACTGCATCATTTCTTTTATCTATTTATTATTATTGTTTTTGTTGCTGCTGTTGTTATTTTGTGCTCATTATAAAAGAAAGTTTGATTGAAAAGTTTTCGTATTATTATTATTTTACCTTCTTAGAATATAAAGGGCATTTTCCAGAGCTTCCACAATTCGGCTTTCAGTTTGATGAGCGTCATTGTATCAACCTAACTTTCACAATTAGCATTACTGATTTGCTATTATTAATGCTATTTGTTTTAAATTGCAGTATGCGCATAGGAAATGCGTGCAGCATTGGTGCAATGAGAAAGGAGATATCATTTGCGAGATATGCCATCAGGTATTTCCTTGCCTTAATTCTCTTATCGGACTTGTTATTTTGTTAGAGACATGCATTGCTTGCTCCAACTTGATTCCATCCTTTTAATTTGTCACAAGATCTTTAACTAGCTTGTGTAGGCCTTGGCCTTTTTTGTCTACAAGTGATCAGAGTTTGTGGATTTTGAAATAAGTAGCTGCAAATGAGTATGGAATAGAGGCTGTATCTAGCATCAACTGCTTTTTAAGGAAGAATATCATTTAATCATTTGAACGATGGGAAAAGCCCTTGTTTTCTTAGCACTGGCGAATTGTGTTCATTTCCTTTCATCCCTTACTAAGACACAAGGCTCAAGTTTTTAGTTCTTGTTCAGTGGCTATTGGTAATTGGTTGGTTTCGCTCCTTGCTGATGTAGTTTGTCCTTTCAATTTTCTGTGCAGCCTTATCAACCTGGTTATACTGCTTCGCCTTGTGACCAAACCGAAGAAACTGCAATTGATATTGGGTAAGTTTGATGGTCTCCCATATAAGACATTTCTATACAATGATTGGTGGACTTACGCTAACTTGTAAGATAAAACATACATATTCTGTGATATTTTTCATGCATGAAATCCATCACAAAGTTTGATTTAAACTTTCTTTTTGCATCTGTCTATTAGTGGAGTCTGGACAATCTCTGGCAGCCCTCTGGATTTGGGCGATCCTCGACTCTTGGCCATTGCAGACGCAGAAAGGCAACTTTTGGAAGCAGAGTATGATGAATATGCTGCATCAAATGCCAGTGGAGCTGCCTTTTGCCGTTCCGCTGTTCTAATCGTAAGCTTTTATTTGTGAAGTTTCTGGACATATTCAATTTCTTATCATGTTTAAGATAATCCCCTCCTCCACAACACCCCTGGGGGCGGGGTTGCTGGTGTGGCATACTAATTGCATTAGCAGTGGAGAAACCTACTTTTATCGTTTTACATGATTTTTGGGGTTTTTAGCTCCCAACTTACCTTCATCTAAATAGAAACTTGAGGCAGTGGCCCCTCCTTCCCGTTTTCTTAACAGTGGAGAGAATAACTTATACCATCATCTTGAGCCTTCTCCCAACTTTGATGTCTGAAGGAGAACCACCCAGATTCTGTCCTGGGCTACAAGCTGCTCAGTTGAAAATTTTCATAACTTTCTTTTGGTTCCTTTATTTAGGGGTGAGCGTTCGATCGAGTTGAGTCAAAAAATTTCGAGTTGTTCGAGTTGGCGAGTCCTATTTTACAACTCGGATTTGATTTGAAATTTTTTTTAGTCAAGACGAGTTTATAAAATTCGAGTCAAGTCGAGTTGATTTTTCGAGTTTCTATTTAAATTTAATTGTAAATATTTATAATATTATAATATTACTTTATTCCAATTTAAGTGACTTTCTATAACCATATATATAATACAAATATATTTCTTCATATTTTTTTATATGTAATATACATATATCATACAAAGTCCAAGGACTTGACTCAAACCTAAAAATAAATTCACTAATTACTAAAAATTTTGAGTTATTCGTGTTGCATTTAACAACTCGATTTGAACTTGAAATTTTTTCAAGTCGAGTCGAGTTTATGAAATTACAACTCAAAGTCAATTCGAATCGAGTTTTTTCAAGTCGAATCAAGTCGAAAAATTCGATTTTTCGAGTCAAGTCGAGTTTTGTTCACCCTTACCTTTATTTTTCCTTTTCCCCTTAAAATCTAGAAGCAGTTAGTTTTTTACATGACCATTTAATTAAGAGTTGGTTTTCAAAATGATTGATGTTTTCTTCAATTGTCAGTTAATGGCCCTTTTGCTGGTGCGGCATGCATTGACTGTTCCAGATGCTGATACGGAGGATGATGTGTCTACTTTTTTCTCTGTAAGTTTTACCGCAAAACTGCATCCCGTATTTCACACAACACTTCTTAAGCATATGCATTGAGCCATTTTGTCTTAAATTGTTTTGATATTTGTGCAGGTTTTCTTGCTTCGTGCTGCTGGATTTCTCTTGCCATGCTACATAATGGCTTGGGCCGTCAGTATATTAAAGCGACAAAGACAAAGACAGGTTTTTATCTCTTTACCTATATTTCAATTTAAAAACACATGTATGTTTCCTTCCGGAGGAGACCAAGAAAAGTGACAAGTTAAACGAACATTCCTCTTTCATTTTTATCCACCCTTCTCATCGCTTTTCTTCAGACCTTGAAACCTTATATCACAGACAGTTTTATATTCGAGTTGATATTGAAGCTTGTATCATTGTTGTATCAGGAAGCAGCAGCATTGGCTGCAACACAGATTGCATTTGTGCTACAGTCCGGGCAACGCAGGGGCGTGCATTTTACCATAACATCAGGACCCACAGTGACCACCCACCAGGAAAGTGCTTGACCTCAAGCCCTCTTAAAATTGAACTGGTAGTTGATGAACAAATGAAGATTTTTTACGTTATTGATAGACTCGGAAAGCTTTATATTTCTATTCTGTTTAACCCCAGATAGATAAAACTTAAGAAGCGCTAATTTCTGTTTTAGTGAATTGCTGAAAACATTGGGTAGCTGTCAGTCGTCTTCATAGTTTGTATCCATCATTGTGTATATGTGTATCTGAGCTTTGCAGTGCTTAAGCTTGAGCTGTCTGGTACTAAAGAATACAAATTTCTCTCCACTGGATAAGTGTTTGACAAGCGTGGTTTTACTTGTCAAAATAAAATAAAAAAAATTGAGAATAATATAATGAAAGAGGGTCGATCCACAGGGAGTTAGTAATTTTTGAAGTAGTTTTATGTTGATCTCTAACCAGGCAGCTGCAACAAGAATAAATAAAAGGGGGTGGCGTGAAAGGGGTGAATAATAAAAAAAATGATAAGTAGATCATTAAAGAATGAAAATTGATAATAAGGAAGCGTAAATTAAGATTAAAAATAATAATGATAAAATTGCCTCGAGCTAGTTTTGTTTCAATTCCGTTGATTTTCGAAATGAACTTTTCCCACTGGATTCATGTCGGTTACAATCTATAAGGCTCAACCCATTGTACCTTGCATTTCTCTTTAATAACCGATCTTCCCAAGTCACTCTTTGAAACTTGGTTCTTGAATGAACTAACCACAACTATTGTCGTTAGAACAAACAATTTAAGTTCTGGAAAAGCCTGACTCAGATTATGTTGTTTACTCGAGAATCGAACCCGAACTCAATTTTCCTTAGTGGACCGCCGCTAAGTGTGTTCACAAGAGGTCGAATATGCCACAGGTCGATCCCTCCTCCTAACTATAAATTAAAACAACATATAGACCAACATTGACGTTTTGATTTGATAACATTTTAATTTTGAAAGTAAAATCGATTGCCAAACTAATAAAACAGAAAATCGTGAATGTAATCCGAAGGGTATTAAGTGCTATTGTAGACTCTCATTTTCGTTCGGAGTTTTTTTAATAATATAATATATATTTTTTATTTTTTTCAAAACATATAGTTTTTTAAAAAAATCGGTCTTTGAAAAAATATATATAATATATAATTTTTAAAAACATTTTGAATATAGATATATAATATATAGTTTTTGAAAACATTTTGAAAAAATATATATAATATATAATATATAATTTTTGAATTTTTTTTGAAAATATATATAATATATTGTTTTTGAAAACATTTTGAAAATATATAGAATATATAGTTTTTGAAAACATTTTGAAAATATATATAATATATAGTTTTGAAAACATTTTTGAAAACTGTATGATATATAGTTTTGAAAACATTTTTAAAAAATATATATAATATATAGTTTTAAAATATTTTTGAAAATTATATAATATATAGTTTTGAAAACATTTTAAATATATATATATATATATATATATATATATATATATATATATATAATATAGTTTTAAAATATTTTTGAAAAAATATATATTATATAGTTTTGGGAAATATTTTTGAAAATATATATAATATATTATTATTATTATTATTATATTTATATTATTTTATTTATTATATGTTTTATTTTATTTTATTTTGCTTATTTTATTTTATTTTATTTTAATTCGGTCCAGGTCCAGCAAGGGTGTGGGTTGCCCAACCGGATAGGCAGGCCTGACCCAACAAGCCCACCTGGATTAGGGTTTTAATATTTTTCAAAGCGCCACAAACATGACAGCCGTTGGATCAGATCAATTGATCCAATGGCCCCAACAAATCAGGGGCTAGGGTTTGTTAAACCCTAAGATATCACTTGCGCGCCAGATCTGGACCGTTGGATCGGGCCCAATCCAACGGCCAGAAAACAATCTCAGCAGGAACAACACGTTACCAACCGACCGAGATCCCTGGGACTGAACCATCCCGGGGTTCTCGGTCTACCCAAAACTGCACGAACGTGCAACCGTGGCAACAACCCACGTAAATCCCGGAGATAGCCTCCGGCGGTGGGGTATAAATACCCCCACCGAAGCTGTTGACGGGGGATATCACAAGGGAACAAAAAACATCATCGGAGACACAAAACAAACACAACACCATGACAAGAAAAAACCACAAATACGAGCAACACAACCGCAGTAACCAGCAAAATACCAAGAGAAACAAAATAATATACGATAAAAATAAGCCCATCGAGCGAAAAAAACCAAAATCGCAACACAAAAATAGTCGAAGCAAAGCAACACAAGGACTAAACGGAATGTAAGTCTCGGCTCGAGAGGGAAGAGCCATCAGAAGTCGAAAAGTTCGCCTGAAAGGTAAAACTCGAGAGGTTTCCTTTTAGATCTAGGTCGTTTGGGGTTTTTTATGATAATCAGACTGTGGTTTCATGTTCGAGTGGTTGGGGGAAACATTTTGGGTATTGTTAGGAATTTTTCTGGCCGCCGGAGCGACGACAGACGATGGTTGGCCACATGAGCGGTAGCCGATTTTCAGTCGGATAGGAGAAGGGTTGAGAGTGTTTGGGAGAGGGTTTTGTGTTTCTTTTTGGGTTTAGGCTTTGAATGATTTTTGTTTTGGTTTTTTGGCTATATATAGCCGAGGGACCTTTGTGCAAATAGTCAATAGTTAAATTATTTCCACAATCCCTCATATTTTGATGTGTAATTCATTTTGGCCACGTTGCAATTTTGTCTCTGAATTTTTAATTTATTCAATTTGATCCCTGTTTACATTTCTTATATTTTGCAATTTAGTCCCCTAACCTTTTTATTTTTCTCTTGCAGCTCATTTTTAGTATCAATTTGATCCATAAATTTTAATTCATTTCAGTTTAATCATTTTTTTCTTATTTGTATTTTCTTTAAAATTTAATATTTTTTTTTATTTTATTTCGTTTTTATTTTCCCACTTTTTTATTCTATTTTTTATTTTTCATTTAACATTTTTTCCTTCTTTGATTTGTTTATTTATTTATTTATTTCCTTTTTGTTTAATTTTTATATGATATTTCTTTTATTTTACTATCTAACATTTTTTGACCTTTTCAGTAGTAATTTCAATCGATCAAAGGTAAGCAATTCAAATTGAATTTTAAATTTTAATTTTCTCGATTAAAACAAACGACAAATTAAATGGCACCGAAAGGGCAGTTCAAGGGTGCTAATCCTTCCTTGACTGTAACCGACTCCCGAATCCGACATATCTTTGGTAAGAAGCAGATCAGGTAAGAAATTGAGGTATCCGGTCAACCAATTTTTTTTCTTAAAATAAATGATCGGTGACGACTCTAACATTTTTTTCAAGTCAAAGTCCAATTCCGAGCCCACCTAAAAGATGGTTGCGACAGCTTGGCGACTCCATTGGGGACAAGTAAGTGAGTCAAGCTAGAATTAATTTTTGGTTATTTTTTAAGCGAAAATTGTAAGTTTAAATTTTAATTTAACTTTTCTATTCTTATTATTTATCTTTGATTATTTTTTCAAATAAATAGTTGTATTGACATTTTTTCAATGATTTCAGATTTTTGAAAAAGTTTTCATCTTTGGCTCTATACCCGAGCTCCAAACCCTTTTTAAGTGGGGGTGAAAGTGACGCCTTCATGAGAATTTATTCTCCGTGCGAACCTAGCAAGTAACCTTCGGGATTCATATACCTTATGTCTTCGTATGAATTTATTCTCCATGTGGACATAATGGAATGTATCCTCTCGAGTTTAACTTAGTCCACATAAGCTTGTAATGGGCTTAGGACTAAGGGTCTGGCAAGCCCAAGGGAGCATTAGCAAGGAGAACTCGAGTACCTTTCTTAGAACCTAAACCGGGAGACTACAGGGAATTAGAGTCCACCCTGAAACTCTATTTTAAAACCTAGGATGCTTGAATGATCTCATATTTTACTTTCTGTTCAAAGCATGCGAACTAGACAAATATGCGGTTAGAATTTTATTAAAAATTAACATGCGGAATAGAGATCATGTCCGGGTAGGAATAATAAGCATGTGGGTAGATATCATGTGGGGTATGACTTTTTTTCATTATTGTTTTGATTATTATCCTCATCTCACTAACTGTTTTCCCTTTCATTTTCCCCCTTTTATTTTATTATATTTTTTTTATTGTTTACATCATTCAAAAGAGGTGTTGATCTATAAAAAACGTGTTTTTTAAACATAAATAATTTGCATTAATGGACAAAGGGTTTATAATATAAGAGGTGAAAAACACAAAAGTCCGGCTATGGTCAGAAAAGACTCAGAATGGATTGAGATTTACACCAAGCACATCAAAAGTCAACTTTTTGAGCTTGCAAAGGTTGCAGGGGCAAACGAGAAAAAGGTTACCGACCTGGAAAGTCCATTCAAAGACAACAAGAACAAGATGGCAAAGCGATAGCTGAAACTAGAGGATGTTGTTAACGAATTCAAGAAACAAGTAGATGAACTTCGAATAGTTCCTATTGATAGAGGGCTCCAATAGTGTTTTCGTTAGGGAACAGACTCAGTAGAGAGTGAAAACCAGAGATGCAACATTCGAGACTTCTTGGGACAAGTACAAAAAGTAGCTCGTCCCTTTTCAGAGAGGCCAGAACGGTTCGACGGGGTATTCAACTGGTGACAGAAAAGGCAGAAGACGAGTCAACTTGTCAGATGTTGTTCGGGGTCTAGAAGACTTAGTGGTTTTTGTCTCTTAAGAAATAACACTTTTTCCCAATAAAGATTATTTATAATAACAGACACATTTCTGGATCAGTGCCTCTCATTCTCATGCATCATGCATTGCTTTTTATACTTCACATTTTATTTTTTTTTTCCATGTTTTTACATTCACATTAACTAACAGAAAATGTCTCATCAGAAGAAAGAACAAACTCTGAGTTTACCTCCACAAGTTCTGGACACACATCATCCTCACAACACCCACACAAAGAAAAGACAAATGGAAGCTAAAATCGCTCACTCGAGGAGAACATGTTGAAGTTGCAGAGAGAATTAGAAGAAAAGATAAACCAGAACAATCAAAGTACTCTGGATACGATTACTAAGAGTCAAGAATCCTTGTTCGATCAGATTGTAGCTAAG